ACCAATATGTTATTAATTTTCTGGCTTCAAGATATTTTTTACTATTATAAGGTAAGAGATCATTTTCTCTAAAATATTGTAAACGAGGCCAAATTCGATTCATCCACTCACTGGGAGTTTCATTATCACGAATTTGTGGCATCTTACAATATTCATCCCATTCAGCATCGGTACAATCAGTTCCACGTCTTTCACTTAAACTAGCCATTGTATATAACCTATTTGTAGTGTTTTTCGAGATTATGTGATTATGTCGAATTTAAGGATTTAGACCTATTAGATTTAATAACTTTATACTCTAGAATAATACGATTCAATTTTAGTCCAGATGCTCGAAGAGCGCCCCATAGGGCCTGGATCCTCGAACCATCTCTTCAAGAGTGTTATATTCGCCATATTTTGTGGGGGTATTTGTGATGAGAATGAGTGAGATATATAGGTATAAATATAGTTTGTATCATTGTTCGTAATTTGAGGGATAAACATATCACAATTCATTTTTGTTCGATATAATGATAGGTTTATTTTTCGTGAAGAAAAAAATAATGATTCATATAATTATGAGTCTTTGTTCCACGAGATTATTTCTGTGACACCGCTAAATTATTTTCTCACTATATTTATAGATTATGGAGTTAATAAAGCCTTTTCCTTACTGTAGATAGCTTTTCCGATAAGAAAAAAATACAAATGGGACCCAAAAAGGATATGAATGAGGAGAGTTTATTGTTCTTTATCAGTAATAATATCAAAATTCATATGTTACGGAACTTGAGATCTTCCCCATTCCGAGATCGCCAAAATTTGTCTTATTTTTTATTCTACAAAAGCGATCGTCATTCTGAAAGGTTTAATTTCCCATAAATAACGAAATATATTCAGTTCTTGGCGCTTGTGATTCTAATAGAATTGCTTTATGGGGCAGAGATCTGGCAAATGGTTGGGGGTAACGTAATTACTAATCATGTAAATTTTTTTCTTTTAGCAGGTTCCAGATCAAGCGAATGAAACACTATAAATAAACTGGATTTGTGAGGTGGACTAGAATATTATTACTTATATTTTTTATCGAAACAAAAGTTTACAATGGAAGGAGAACTTTCAGTTAAAATTGGTAAATAAATTCTCCCATTAGCATTATTAATGCACAGATTGTATTTTTACAAAAGATAAAAACACGATTAAATAATGATATTTTTTTACATAGTGGGACTGGATGAAATTTACCTCGCTGTTCATGACGGGGGGGATAAAAAAATAGACGAAGAAACGCTAAAAAAAGAACAAGGTGAATCTACTACGTTGTAAGTTACATGGTTTCTCTAATTGTTCTATAATGAACCGCTTTTTGTTTTCCATATATATCTCATTTTCACCATTCTGTATAATTATAGATCAGTTCAAAAAGTAGAAAATGGTGCATATTTAAAGGTCAATAACGAAGAAATATCTCTCAGTAATGTCTTTGAAAATCCGGGTCAACCAGAAGAACATACAGTAGAAGGGGTACGTTTACAATTGGTATTCAGGGATGCTGGAGGATCTGGCTTCACAGAAAACGCAGGTGCCGGCAAAACAAAAAAATAATAATATATGTTTTTAAATATATGTCTTTATATATATTTTCTTAATAAAATATTGAGTGCCTTTTTGGGCGCTAACGTTTTAGTGAAACTAGCTCCGCTATAATTTATCAGTTACACAATATTGTCTCATGAGTTAAATATTAATTATCTGAAAAAATTCTTGATCATATGTGAAATATCGATGTCCATACAATACAAACATGTTTTATTTTCCGATATGACGAAAATATGTCTCGCAAATCTAAAAATAACAGTCGAAAACCTAATCATTTTTATGTATTCTTTGATGGAACTCGTTATGTTATGTCTGGCTAAAAATTTGTACGAATTGGCTATGGATTTCTTCCCATTCTTTCATCAGATCGTCTAGCCATGCAGTACTTAAACCACTCTTTAGAATACTGCGACGTAATAACTCTTCTCCGATTAGCCTATCCCGATCTGTTAAAAATTTTCGATATTTTCTAGGATCTTCCTTACTCTCTATTCCACCACGGTAAAAGCGTATATCTCTCTCCAAGTCTTCACGGAAGCATCCCATGGACCACCTATCTTTTTCGGCCTTAGTAATAAACGAAAATTTCTCAGGATCAAGACCATGTTCTACAGCATATTGATAAAGACATTCCATCTTATTTGGATTAGTCCTAGGAATCGGTGTATTATTAGGTAAATTTTTTCCGGGACATAATGTCTCGGAAATTTCTGTCACATAATCCGTTTCGGGAGGTATTTTTTCCAAAGATATTCCATAATCTATAATCTCTTGAATTTGCTCATTAGTAAGCTCTGAAATAGAAGTTGCACTGTAGGATTTAATATATCTGATTTTATCTATGTCCACTTGTTCGAAAAATTTATATACTTTCTCAGCTCTCTGAGTTTTCTTGCGTAAACTATCTCGTGATATATCTCGAAGTTGTAACCCTAATTCTTGAGATCTTTGTTTGCGAATTAAATTAAGCTGTTTTGTAATTGAATCATACAGCAAACTTCTTGCCTTCTTTTCACCGAATTTACCTTCACTATTTTCTATAATTCCATTGAGCTGAATTCTGAAATCCTTCGCATAGAGATACCAACATAAAATTTCTTCCTGATTAGCTCTATTTGCTTTATCTTCAGCATCAAAAGCTTTATTACATAACTGGGCTAAATGTTGAGAGGCCTCATCAATGCTAGATATGTTATCAAAGGTAATTTTTCCAGGACATAATGTCTCGGAAATTTCGTTCACAAGATTTTGTTCTATTGATGGTTCCTGTGATGTTTCCGAGACGAACAATTCATGTTTAAGCTTGTCTAATCCCTCACCTTTTTTATGTTCTACTCCCGTTTTCTTACGTATCTTACCAGTTTCGTCTTGGGAAATAATTTCATTACTATCTGAATGAGAGGATTCCGGAATATTTGTAGCTGATGCTTCGGATGTTGCACTATTGCATGGTTGAGTAACCAAGTTGAGATCTTGAGCTTGAAGTTTCTTTTCCTTATTTTCTGATGACTTGTTGTTGGTATTATCATTAGGTACATTATCACAGGTAACTGCTCGTCCAACTTTATTATTGAGATTCTCTACTACGGAATCGGATACATCAACAACTGATACCGTTATTTCTGGAATATCATTATTCTGTGACTGTCCAGTTACCCCAGTAACACCCTGTTCCAATATCGCGAGTCTGGCCTCAAGCTCTGTATTCTTTTGCTCTAGTTCCTCAACTCTAACATCGCGCTTTGTATTCTCCTCAATAATCTGCTTCAACTTTGCATTCTCCTTTCTAAGCTTGGCAATCTCGGCTACAAGTTTGGAATTTAACTCCTTCAATGAGTCGTTTTTGGATTGAGTGTTCGACATTACTTTATATAAAAAGCGCATTCATTCAAATTGTGCAAGGTACAAAGTTAAATTCACGTGATTAAATTTTGCGGGACATAATGTCTCAGAAAAATGCCAAGAAAAAATTTTGAATGTGCCTCAATACTTTGATATAATACATCACATAAGGTATGTCTCGCAAATCTAAAAATAGCAGACGAAAAACTCTAGGTAGATTTACCGATAATCCTAAACAGTATATGCAATTTTTAAACCGGGATAAGTACATGCAAAGAAAAGACGAAGATCACATTACTATCATAAATAAGAATACGCAAGATGTGAAAGCGATTTTTGATTACGTAGAATTATGCAGATATTTAGAGGTAAATAATTACGATTGATATGTTTACAGTATATATATGATAATTCAACCACCAGGGTCGGCTTTATTGATGTAGTAAAAAATAAAAATAAATTATAATCTACTCGGGATCGGAGGAAACATTTGAACTTTTTTCCATACGCCTACGTGATCTAGGTACCTGTGCATGAAATATAAGACTCATATTGACTACTAAAATATTCTATGAAATATAAATAAGTTAGCTACTAGTAAAAACTCCAAGTTGTGTTCTCGTTACAACATACCCGCAAAATCAACAAAGTTTCCACGAATTCTGTTACATCTTTCTCTTCAGCTTGTTGGATGGGGATTTTTGTTGATTTAAGATGAAAATATCTGTGTACATCACCCGAATCCCTGATAAGTACATTAAGATGTAATTCACGCCCTATAAAAATTTGTTTTATATTAAAAATAGATTTGTTATAAAATAAAAGTAAGAGAAAAAAAAAACATACCAGCAACTTGAATTCCAATTATCCCAAATTTATCCTTCTCCGGATAACATCCTTTACGAGTCCAAAAAACTCCATCATTAACCTCTCTCCACAACTTAACACTATCATTTATTTTTTTACGCTTGGTGCAAATTATGCGGGAGCATTCAGTATATATGAGTTCATAAACATAATCACCATATTTTAATACAAACATTATATCCGGTCGTCTTCCAGAATGCCCTTCACCTCTTCTATCCGCACTAGCAATACTTTGTTTCTCTGAGCTAAATAAAGATAAAATTAATATCACTCTAAATACGCCTAATAATGTAGAAAACATAACTTACGTGCTAACATATGAAGATTTTCCAAAGGGAAGATCTTTTAACACAGCTCGAATTGTAGGTACAATGATGTTTGTCACATAAGTCCCTTCATTCTGTGATTCTATAAATTCTGGACTAAATGCTGGGTTTTTCCATGTATCACTCAAGACGCTGAGGATTCCTTTTGTAACTTCCACGAGAATTACGTCTCCTTCTTTCCAAGATTTATCATGTTCCAATTTTTCTGGTAAGACCTACAGGAGGGAACGTACTGGGAACACAAAATTAACAGGAGGGAACACAAAAATTTAACCCATGCAATTTTGTTGATT